AGCTGTGCTGAGTCCTGGGCTGGCACACATAGTGCCGTCACAGCAAGACGGACCGTTCTGGGCGTGGGAGTTGGTAACAGATGCTGTTTCTGGGTAATGACTCAGAAAGCATGCTTTAAGCTGACGTGGCCAGGGCCTGTGCAGGTGGGTCACTGGGCTGCTGGGCCTTAGCCCTGATACCCTCACCCTGCTGAGGCCCCCCGTGCCTGTGACTTCTGTTATCTGCCAGAAGGAATTAACATTCCTGGATCTTTTCTGAGGCAGGTGCCTGTGCACACTGCCTGGGCCGCCTGCTGAACTGACTTGGCGTGCGGTGCACGCCCCGGCTTGGCTGTCTCCAGGGGGCTTGTGTGGAGGCTCATCATTTTCCTGTAGAGTGTGTTCCTTCACTGTGGGTCCCCCATCCGAGTGGAGCTCAGAGGGAGATGTTTCTGTGCACTGCTGGCGATCGGTCGGCCCTGATCAACAGCTCTGTGAGGCAGACCGAGCTCCGTCCAGTGCTGGCTGTTACCAGTTAGCTCTGTCAGCTGGACGTGCATTCATCTTTTCAAGCCTCAGTGTCTGAGTGTGAACCCAGGGGTGGTACTCACACCTCCCCGTGGGCTAACGCGATGACATGCAGGCAGAGGGCTGGGCCTGGGGCCTCTCCGGGCTCTGGCACCATTGGTGCTGTTCTCATTTATGTGGCATTTCTCACCATGGGGCTGGTGGGGAGCACGTGGTGCCAGAGAGTGAGGTGCAGTCAGGCTGACCCCAGAATGGCAATGCCTTCCTCAGAAACGCAAAGGCTCACGTGCCTTCCGCTCTAGCAGATAATCTGCTGGCTCCCGGATTAGTTTTTAGGCTTTGGAAATGAAAGTCAGGGAGCTTGACAGTCAGGGCGCTAAGGTGTTAGGCTGCCAGGGTTTCCTGGAGCTCTCTAGCTGCTGTGAGCGGAAGCCACGCAATGGCGTGAGAGCGCTGGGAAGCCGGCTGTCCTGTTCCCTGCATTAGACTGTACCTGGGCCTAACACAACCTGTATGCCCTTCATTCTCGGTGGGGTTTCTTGGTGTGAGCTATGTGGAAATGAAGACATCAGGGAAAAAGCAAGAGCCTGTTGTGCCAGAATGAGCAGAAATGCAAGTACATCAGGGGGCCGCGTGATGTGACTGTGGGCTGGCTGGGAAGGTCTTAGTTGCTTCAGAGAGATGTTCTGGTGAGCGCGGCCCTGGTCACCAATGGCGTATGATGGCTCGCTGGTGAGGAGGGCCTCAGCAGAGGCAGCTTTGCTTGAACTTTCCTGTTCCTGGACTCCAGGCCCTGTGGGAAATGCTCTGCACACGTGGCCCAGTGCAGATGTGCGTCCCTCTTCTGTGGGGTGTGTGAGGCCACTCGAGGCTCCTGGCGGGGTGAAGGATGATACAGAGCAGGGTGCTGCCTGAAAAGCGTACCAAGTCCCTTGCAGCTGTGGGTCCCCCATCTCCTTCCTGCTGAGGAAGTGATGTCCGTGACCTCCGACCTCCTACGGGTGCTGTGAGGACCTGGTGAGGTAGTTGGGGAGGCGTTCGGACCGAGGAAGGGCTGGCGCAGCCGAGTCGCCGTCCCGATCCCTTTGGGCTGTGCTCTCCGTACTGCCTGTGTCGCCCTGTGGCTGCGTTTAGAAGCTTGTGCTCTCCGTACTGCCTGTGTTGCCCTGTGGCTGCGTTTAGAAGCCGTCTGCAGGGCTCTCTGGCTTGCCAGCCTTTGGCCTGGGGTCCACAGTGATGATTTTCTGATAAGGAGGATGTGTCCACACTCAGAGCAGGGTGAAGTGACTCCGCCTCTGTCTTCCTATTGCAAACCTGGGCCATGGGAAATGTCCCCTGTCCTTTTCCTCAAACACCTGACTGTGTACTGAGGAGCACGGGGCAAGGGGAACACCCTCCGAGCGGTGTGGCTCGCTTGTCCCCACCTGGTCCCGGAGTCTCAGTCCGCCCAGCAGCTGTGGGTGTCTGACAGCAGCAGCAGCTTGTTCCCAGGACTGAAGCTACTTCAGTTTCATTATAAATATTTATTTCTTTCTGGCTCACTGGCGGCGTGCTTCTGAGTTACAGAGGCAGCATGAAAGAGGCAGCATGAAAGAAGTTAGCAAGATGCATTTTTTCCCACCGTTGCATTTGAGATACTTGCAGGGAGGAGCTTGCGTTGTCTTCTCTGATGGCCACGCTGCACACACACACACACACACACACACACACACACACACACACCAGTCCCATTCTTGCCAGTCCATGCACAAGCCCAGCATGAGCTGCTGAGCAGCATGTCCAGTGCTTGGGGCCAGCATGGTGCCTCTGAGAGTACCAGGTCTGCAGGAAGAGAGCCGTCCCCCTGGGCACGCTGGCTGGCAATCTGGAGGCACTGTATCTGCTATCTCTGTGCCGTGGAGTGCCCCTGGGTGAACCTGCCAATCTCCAGCTCAGGGGTACAGTTCTCCATGATGCTGGCAAGTCTGCCTTAGACTCCTGCTGCCAGTCACAAATTCAGGAGTTCCCCCGAGGCCTGCCTCACTTGGGACCAGCTAGCTTCTAATTCAGGTTCTTTGCTGCTTGCTTCAGGCTCCATAATTTGCTGGAAAGCAACTCATGAGCTCAGGAAAGTGCCATCCATAGGACTGTAATTTCATTGTTGCCATGGGGTGCAGAGCCGTGGGTGCATTCTGGGCTGGGGAGGTTCCTGGTAAGGTTGCCTGCGCCCCAGCACCTTCTGCTGTCCTCAGGGTTTTCCACCAGGGATGCTCACTGACCTTGGGCCTCTGGAGTTTTATGACTTAGTTCACTTTATTGATTTTAATCCCTGGCCCTTCCTGCAGGCCCAGACCAGTACCTGGGTTCCCCACTCGCTCTAGAGGGGAACTGAAGGAAGTTCCTCCCTCTCTTAAATTCTGTTGTTTGTCCGGTGGCTGAAGTCACTGGGGAGCAAACAGTGATACTCCCTTCAGGAAGGACATCCAGGGGCCTGGAGGTCACTGCCAGTAGCTGAGGGGCCGTGGCCACAGCTGCAGTGTCAGAGAGCATTTCAGAGGAGTGGCCTCTGTCTGCATGGCAGGGCCCCAGAGCCCGTGGCTGGGGGTTCAGAGATGGGGGTGCAGGCCTCCCCTGACCTGGTACACACTGTGCTTCTGTGCTGCCATGCAGGGTGTGTGTTTCAGTGCCAACCTGGCTTCTCTGATGGAAGTTGCCACTTTGGTGCATGGCACTAGTGCCTGTTGTCAAGAATAGCAGGGGAAATGGGCATGACTTTGGGGAGTTGTGTTTTGTCCTCCTTGTCTCTCCGCTGTGCATAGGCTGCTGTTGGTGTAGACATAGCCCTCATGCTCCTTGGTTGTTGCTGGCTGGCCCAGGACACAAGGCCCCAGGGAGGGGGCAGGTGGGCCTGGCTGTGGGGCTTCCTAGCTTCAGGGAGCTCTGGTTTGGTGTCTTGGCCGAGGCTGACCCTTGCTTGGCTCAATAGGGGCTCTGCTCCTGCAAGACCTCCTTTCCCAGGAAGTCTTCCCCAGTGCCCCTGAGCCTCAGGTTCTCAGGCACTCCATGCCATGGTGTTTTCCCATGGCAATGCTGCTTTCCGACAGCTGGCCCAGCGGCTTCCTGCCCCGACTGCTGAGCGTGCGTGTGTGACTGACTTGTAGGGTCCTTGCAGAGCCCCAGCCCTGGCCTGTTCTAGATGGACACTGCCTGGGTGCTGCTGATACCAGGACCCTGCCCTGCCCCTGGCGTTCAGGTTCAGAGATGGCCTCAGCCAGACGATGGCTGTGGAACGGAGGTGGTGGCCAGGCTGGGGCATTTGGGGATCACATCACCCCAAAGGCAAGGCGTGCCACCTGCTCGTGAGCTGTGTGTGATGCCCCATTTCCAGACCTACTCACTTCCCTCTGCCTCCCCTGCCGCCCCGACCCACTAAGCATGAACACTAGTGTAGAAGAAATGCATCGAACTCACGCCACCATGGCTCCCATCATAACCTTTAAAGTCACTGGGAGTACCACCACTGCCTTTTCAGCCTATAGTTTGCAGCCTGTGATTATAATGATCTTTTCTCCTCTTTCTCAGACAGTTGAGCCTGATAATCATGGATGTGCAGTCGTCTGGCCAGCTTGGGGCAGGGGCGACGGGCTCAGCAGCCTTGGTCAGCCTCTTGCAAGGGAGGTCCCCCATAGTCTCTGGGAACTCGGCTTCAGTGGGAGCTGGGGCCACCAAAGGGCAGGACTCGTAGACTAGGGGGGCAGTGGCCGTAAGCTGAAGTCCATCTCAGCTTCACACACACAGGAAAAGCTCTGATGAGCTGATGTGCTCTGCTGGCATATTACATGTAACACGTTACACATGTATATTACACAGTCATTTCTCCTTCATTTAAAACTGACACTAGCACAAAGCTACTGTCACAGCTGGTAATTTCTGGAATTAACGCAGGCTTTTCACTTCATGAAATGGGATACCTGAACTTACGAGAGGGCTTTACTGAGTTAATGGAAAAGTGGAATGAAAAGATAAGCTTGTTTCAATGCAGATCATCTTGAAATTCAGGTGCAGTTTTTTTTATAACTACTTCCCCCCAAATTATATACATATGATATTTGTTGATTTTATTTGAAAGGCAGCTTTTGCAGAGAGGAGAAACAGAGAGAAGTTCTTGCAACCGTTGGGTGCCCCTCCAGATGGCTGCGATGGCCAAGGCTGAACTTGTTTGATGCTGGGAGCTAGGAGCACTTTCCTGGTCTCTCTCATGTGGGCACAGGGTCCCAAGGACTTGAGCCATCCTTCTCTGCTTTCCCAGTGCATAGGCAGGGATGTGGGTGGGAAGTGGAGCATCTGGGAAATGAACCAGAACCCATACGGGATGCCAGTGCCACAGGGTGAAGGATTAGCTTGCCGTGGCACTCGAGAAAGTTCTAAAAGACTCCTCGCATTCTCTTGGAGTTGGTTGTGTGCCCTGCCTTGATGCCCGGTGTGACTCTGTTGACCTCTTGTTTGCTTTGTAGAGTTTCTGGTCATGAAGAGGAAGAGGGGTCGGCCCAAGGGCTCCACGAAGAAGCCCAGCACGGAAGAGGAGCTGGTGGAAAGTGTCGTGAGCTCCAATGAGGCTGGGGCAGGAACCACCGAGGAAGGCAGCACCCCGGCCCCCAGCAGCCTGGAGTGCAGCAAGTGCAGCCGCAAGTTCTCCAACGCGCGCCAGCTGCGCAAGCACATCTGCATCATTGTGCTGAACCTGGGCGAGGAGGAGGGCGAGGCAGGTGCGCATTGGGGATGGGAGGGTGGCGGTGACCCTCTGGAGAGAAGCACTTGGCTGCTGCTTCTTACTGGGAGAGAGCGTGCTCGCACAGATCTTTCCGTGTGACTACCGGCCATGCTTCACGCCATCTTTGATGTGGATGTGTCATCTGGTCTTCCAGGGCGAGACACACAGGAAGGTGGTGGAGTGGACACTGGGGGTTGCAGAGAAGATAAACACACTGTCTGCCCTTGAGCAGTTTCTGTCTGGGGGTTTAAAATGCAACATCTCAACAGTGGGAGGAAAGGTTGCTCTGCCCAGTCGGGAGTGGGCTGAGATGGTCCAGTGGCTTTGGGGCTCAGGAAGGTGGGTGTTGCCGGGGAGTGGAGGGGAGGAAAGGGGCCACGTGAGCACAAGGACAGCGAGGGGGCTGCCTGCGGCCCCCGTGAGAGAGCTGGTGGACTCTGGGAAGCTGAGGACTAGTTGCTGGTGTCTGCTCTGGCTGTGTTCTCAGGGCTTAGCCCCTGCAGCCCATAAAGGAGGCTGGAGCGGGGGAGGTGTGGGCAGGAGGCAAAGGCTCTGTGGTCCAGCCTGGCTGCAGATGACCTCTCAGGAGGAGTGGAGCACTGGACTGCAGCTGGAGAGGCTCCTGCGGTGGTTCCCTCGCTGTCCTTGGGACTTTGCAGCGAGGCTGAAGTTGTCAAACTGTTACCCTATGTTAAAGACATTGCTGCTATTTTGACAGCACTCAGCTGTCACTTGGGAAGCAATTCTGCTTGAAAATACAGTATGAGGGGCCAGCCGTTTGGCACAGCCAATTGAACCACCTCCTGTGTTGCTGACATCTTGTGTGGGTATCAGTTCAAGTCTCAGCTGCTTCATTTCCGATCCAGCTACCTGTTCATGTGCCTGAAGAAGCAACAGAGTATGACCCAAGTGCCTCAAGTGGTCGCTGTGAAGACTCAGCGACACCAGAATTTTAGGGTCTTTAGAGTGGCACCCACCCCTGAGAAGTACACGGAAAGGGCTGGCCATGCACAGCCCACCGCTGGTGCCTCTGCAGGTTTGTACAAGTCTTAAAACCTTGTGCTTTCCCTGCAGGACTCTCAGGCAATTATGTGAAACCCTAGCAGGCTGCCTGGGCCAGTGCGGGACACAGACCTGGAGTCAAGAGGCTGATAGGAATGAGATGGCCGAAGGGGGAAGGATTAGGCTGGACATGCCTTGAGGTGGCAGCTCTGACTTCCGGTGGATTTACTAAGCGTTGGAGTTTGGGTAACCAAATGTTCTGCCACAGTCGGTGGCTTGCCGCTTAAACAAGCCTGGGAAAGTTCTGCTTTGGATCCTTCTTTAAGTGCAGGGCTTCTTAGAATGGTCACATTCCTTTTCTGAGCTTCAGTCCCAGCTCTGCTTCCAGTCGTTTCCTGCTAGTGTGCACCCCGGGCGACAGCAGATATGGCTCAGGTAATTGAGTCCCTGTGCCCCACATGGGATACCCTGAAAGTGTTCCAGGCTGCAGAAGGTCATTCAGAGGCCCCTCACTCATTTGGGGTAGGGCTGGGGGTGGAGCCCGAGTCTCCCCACGGCTGCCCTGTCTCCGCCTAAAACCAGGCCATGTCTGCCCTCGGGATGTGCAAAACGCCCACGTCCCGGGTCACCTTTGTCAAGTGTTCTTGCCAGCCCTATAGAAATGACCATCCTGCCTGGCAGCTCTCTCCTTCCTTCCTTCCTTTCATTTTCTTTTGAAAAGATTTATTTAAGCAATGAAGGACACAGGTAGAGGCAGAAGGAGATGCTCCATCCGTAGGTTCACTCCTCCCATGCGTATGGTGCTCGGGGCTGGGCAAGGCGGAGCAGAAGCCAGAAACTCCATCCTGGACTCCCTCGTGGGTGCAGGGCTCCAGAGATTTGGGCTGAATCTGCTGCTTTCGCAGGCACACGAACAAGGAGCTGGATGGGAATTGGAGCAGCCGGAACCAGAAGCCCAAAGGGGATGCTATGTTAACAAGTCTCACCTGGGCAGATGAACGCGCTGGGTGCTTTTCCCTGTCTGGCTGCTCCGGAGGCCTCTAGACTCTGCATCGATGACCTTAAGTCCAGCTGTGCCGTGGCCAGCGGGGCTGGCCAAGTGCAGCATTACAGCCAGAAAAATCTCACATGGTTGTTTTAATACATGCTCTGCAAGGAGCAATTTAGTGACATTTCCAGTAATTGACCTTGACTCGATAGCTTGTTAAAATAATTAGAAGGAAACAAAACAAACCTTTCCCTACTGTGAATGAGGCACATTAACATAACGCTTCTGCTGTGTGTTCAGTATGTATTTTACTTTGCCTTTCTGAAGTGAAGGAATGCAGAAAAGCTTTGTGTTTTTCTGCCCTTCCGTGGAAGAGCTTGTATTCTGAGTCATTTTGCCACCCTCCTAAATCAATACATCAAGTTGATAAAAGCAAACTTCAGAACCTTTCCATGCTTGTTATTTCTCAGGTTATTTTACGCAAAGAGGGTCATAAAGACTCCTTCTGGCTTTAGCTAAGTGCTTCCTGTGAAAGGCAAGGCTCTGCTCTTAGCTAAGAAGCACCTGCAGCCCAATAGCATTTCAAGTCTCTGCCTTTCTTTACATTTGTGTTAGTAAGTCAGCTGAGCTGATGGTCGTTTGGAGCCAGATGTGTTGAGAGGCTGCAGGTGGAAAGAGCGTGGCTGTGAGGCCCGTTTCCTTTTGCCAGCTGTGAACCCGGGTTCCCCTCTTCACTGCTCTGGGGCGGGGAGCGGGGATGGGAGCTCCGAGGTCTGAGGCCAGGCCCACCTGTAGACCACAGGGCCGTAGCATCGCCATGTCTGCTCCAGGTGCTCAGGGGCCCAGAGGAGCACAAACTGTCTTCTCCAGCAGCACCAGGGGAGGAGAGCTCTGGCTGCTGTTGAAGTGTGTGGGCCAGGAAGTGCGTTCAGCTGTATTCTATGGTGGGGAGAGCTGGGAGTGCTTGGGCTCTCCCTGTTGCCTCTCACACTGTCCCCTTGATGCCCCCACTTGGTTCTGCCACCAGCAGGAAAGCCTGAGGGAGGAGGGAAGGAGGGTGGTGCATATTCAGCAGGTAAAGCTGGGGACAAGTGGCTTTTCAGACTGTTGTGTTTGGGTGGCTGGTAGGTGGCAGAGTCCCAGAGGGCAGTCCCTTATCAGCGTGCTGTTCTGACAGCTGTGCTGAACATCCTGTTTCAGTGTAGCCAATAACACTTTACTCTCCAGGGTATTCTGAGATTTAATGAGTTCTTGGGCAATTTAGAATAGATGCTTTGGCACGTTAGTGCAGTGCTCATTATAAATGAGTGCATCTGAATTAATTTCTGCAAATACTTGATCGCATTCACACTTTAGCTCTTCATCTGCCTGTCACAAGGTAGGTGTTGCTCACTTCATGTCCCGATTGTGTGTAGGGTACTCTGTGCAGGTTTGTAGGGATCCCAGGGCAGAGACTGCGGATCCAAACTCGACCTTTTCCAAATGTCTGGCCTAGGAGCGATGAAGAGCCAAGAAGGCAGAGATGAGCGAGGTGGAACTTAGCCACGAGTGCTGTGTCCCATGGACTTGGTTTTCCTTGTGTGAGAGGAGCTTGTTGGAGCTGAAGGGAGTAGTATAGTGAATGTAATGACCATGGGTCAGGCAGAAGTGACTTTGGGCTCTGTGTGAGGAATGATGGTAAGGGGCGATGGTGAGTCCACCAAGGGGCTTCTAAAGTAGCCTGGGGAGCAGGTGGTGGTCAGGGAGGACTGGGCTGGAACTATGGCACCAAGTGTTCAAGGCCACAGGCCCCATCTCAGCTGTTTCTTAGGAGAGGTGAGGAATGGATGGTAGAGGAGGGCTGGGGTGGTAGAGGCAGAGGCAGGGAGCGGAGGGCTGGACAGGCTCAGGGAGCAGTCCCAGCACTGGAGGAGGACACAGGAAGGGGAAACAGGGGCCTCCAGGTCCCAGGGAAGGTTCTGGGGCCTCTGCATTTGCATCAAGGGACCCAAGAGGGGCTGTTTTAGAAATGTTGAGGCTCCAGGATTTGAAGGACCTGGGTCAAGGTTGTGGAAGTGAGACAGGTGAGAGGCCACCAGGCCTTTGGCTTGGGTGCCAGATAGATGGGGGACATCCCCACCCATCTCCAGTGCAGATGTGTGACAGAGGATGAAGGTGAGTCAGCTCTTGTCGCGTGTTGAGTCTGGTGTCTTGTGGACTGTCCACCAGGGTGCGGAGCAGCACAGGCGCTGGCCTAGGGCTTGGCGTCCGTGTTCTTAGCGATGGATGAAGGAAAAACACCCAGGGCAGCATCTGAGGAGTCTGCTGTGAGAGTGTCCGCAGCTGAGGAGGCAAGGAAGGCTGCCTTCAAGTCAGAGGAGGGTAAAGTGAGTGGTGGAAAGCCACGAGGGAGGGGTGGGGTGGCGGTTGGCACTGGGATGAGCTTCAGAGCTGAGTTAGGTAGTGAGAGGGGAAGAAGGGGGATGTGGGAGGCCCCACACAGCCTGCAGCAGGCACATGGCATTGCAGCCTGGACACTGTCGGCCTTAGGCAGGTGCAGTGTCGAGCCATGATGCCGTGTAGGAAAGCTGGAGAGGCAGGATGTTGTCTGGCCTGGGTAATGAGGCAAGCGGGGGAGACCATAACCGAGCTCCAGGGTGAGGGCTGTGGTCCTGAGTAGAGGATGCAAGGATGCAGTCCACCTTGATGATCTGGTTGAGGGGGGATCCCCATGCCAGGCCTTCCCTCCCCTTCATCTCTTGTTCTTCCTTCTGGGAGGTTCCCGATCCAGCTGTGCATTGTCATCAGTTTCCTAAAGGAAGTGAAACAGAGGAAGATGTGAACATCGAGGCTGACATGCAGTGTGGCAGAGGTGGCAGCAATGTCAGGCAGACACCAAGGCCCTCACTGCTGTACACATTCCTGTGGCTAATGGAAATCCTGAAACCCTAAAGTCACTTCCTCTCCATGGTGACACGTGCCAAGACCCCTGCTCCCCTTGCATATCTGTTGTTTCCTGTAGTTTG